GGGTAGGTAGGTACTGATAAAATCATTCAAACTCTGAATTGACGTCATCGTGACGTCATCATCTGATTTTTTAATAATTTTTAAAATTTAATATTTTTTTCTAATTACCAAAAATTACATGAAATACCGTACGATCCAATCAACTTCAAACATAGCACATTCTTAGACCACCATCTGAAGATTCAGGCCGAATCATGACGTCATTATGACGTCATCACGTGTCACGTGACCTCATCCTAAAAGTGCATATTTTAGGGCCCTACATCTACAGAACCGGAAGTGCGATTGGGTTCAAACTCGGTATGCATGTATTCCGGGACGTGTTATAGACAAAAATTGCAGTGACGTCACGATGACTTCATCGTTATATGAATTATGAGGATATATGAATTATTCAATTCTTGGACCTTTCAGTCAAATCTCATCAGCAGAACATGGTAAATTCAAAATTGGTGTTGTTATAGATTTGCTAAGTCATAGATAGATACACAAAATTTTGAAAAATGTGTGACGTCATCATGACATTATCAAAAACGTGATTGATTTAAATTTCTAATCCTTATGAAACTTGGTGGGTAGGTAGGTACTGATAAAATCATTCAAAATCTGAAGTGACATCATCAGATACATCATCTCATTTTTTAATATTTTTTTAAATTTTAATATTTTCTTCTAATCACCAAGAATGACATAAAAAAAAAATCCGATCGACTTCAAACCAGGCACACACTTAGACCACTATCTGAAGATTCATCCCGAATCATGACATCATAATGACGTGATCATGTGTCATGTGACATCATTCCTCACCAAGGAAATTCCCCAAATTCTGCTAGTCTCCTAACCAGGCTACTTGTATGTTGCACTTAATTTCACTACATGCACTCCATTTTCCAAAGGATAACAAATGTTTTCGTTCAACACCCCACATTTTTTACAGCAGATCGACACTTAGACCACCACATATAGAATACTCATGTTCATGTACATTCCACTTGGATGAAACTCCTTTATGGCAGTTATTGCTAAAATGGTCGAAACAGCTCAGTGTTTGTCCACAAACACATTTCTAGTTACATATATAACCTAAAAAAACCAGTAACGATGTCTATAAACGTTCCATGTGTCCCAGGCAAGTTGATGTTAATAGAGTGGTGTTATGTCATGGGAACAGTCAGGGTTGCGGGGCATTTGTGTTTTTAACACTACTTTTTTTATTGGCATTGTACTCGGACTCCGACTTAGGTAGTCGGACTCGGCCAAGTACTCGGACTTGGTGCTTTGGACTTGGACTCGCCACAGTGTACTTGGACTCGGCCCCTAAAGTACTCGGAGTACTCGGCTTTGAGGACTCGACTCCAACAATACTATGTACTGGGAGATGGCTAGAACCGCATTCCTGCATGTACACATCTCATTAATCATACACCTGCCGTTGATGGAAGATTTGCATTGAATGGTGTATTTTCTTTGGCTGAGTTACTTGATCATCATGCTCCCATACAAACTAAAACCATTTCAGTCAGGTCTCTTACCCTGGTTTAATGATGAAATAAAAGCTGCGAAAAAGATCACAACGTCAAGCTGAGAGGAAATAGAGGCATTCTGGGAGAGACTCAGACCTTATGTTTTATACATGTACGTCCAGGAGAAATCATACCAACTATCTTTTGAAAATCACCCGTTGGAACCTCTGCTCCAACCTCACCATGGAAAACAGTTCTGATCCAGACAACATTCTTAGCAACTACCATGGGCATCGCCATGATTTTTGCTAGAGGGGGGCAAAACATATTTTTGCAAAAAATACCTGTATTTCTCAACATTTTCTCAAATTTCTCAGTTTTAGGGGGCAGAGACATTTTGCCCCCCCCCCCAACTCATTAAATTTACACCACTATGACTTCGCGCCTCTTTTTCTTTTCTTTTTTCTTGTTCTTTTTTTCTTCTTTTTTTTGTTCTTTTTTTTTCTTCTAGGGGGGGGGCAAGCGCCCCCCCCCCCCCCCCCCGTGCCCCCCCTCGCGACGCCCATGGCAACTACCCACATGCAGGTATTGCAATTATTGGAGACTTCAATTAACTTGATATAAAGTTATTGCTCACCGACCCAAAGTTGAAACAGATTGTTACAAACCAACTAGGGAAAACAGAACCCTGGACAAAATTATCACAAACCTATCAAGCAACCCCACATGTGTGCCAGCTTGGAAAAAGTGACCATAATGCAATCTTATGGTCGCCTGTTCAACATAGAAAGAACGAAAATACCACTAGCATTACAATAAGTACGCACAGGCTAGGTGACAAACTTTAATGAGCTATGATATCATCACTTCATTTAGATACAGCCAATTACAACGCGCAGTGTTTTGGGAAATAATGAATAATCATTTAGCGATCATGCAGTTACCTGATTTAACCGCATGCATACGCAGTAAACAAATAACGATTAGCCAATCAGCAAGCAGTACTGTGCGTGAAGAGCTAGCTGCACGCGCGTGGCTAGTTGCACCATGCGCCCACCGCACACACACAAGCCAAAATTGGGTCATCGGTCGATTATACAGTCGATCAACTTCAGATTGATTAGTGGTTTATGAATAGTGCACAGGTACATACAGTATATTTATGTGAATTTCATTCAAATTTGGTTTTGAGTATTCACTATAGTTGACAGCAACTAGCTGTGCAGTTACTTTATGAATAAACTTTGTGAGTGACCACTCCGGAGGCCATCTGGTGGAGCGAATCGGCCGCTTCAAAAGCATGGATTGTTAATGGATGTGCGGACAGAGTCAGTGTGCCGAGGTGCAAAAGTTGTTGCTTTGGGTACATACCTAAAATGTTTCCACAAGCAGAAATATTTGGTTTCTGCAGCAAGCAGACATACTTTATTTACATGGGGGTACAGTTACTATGTTCAGAACACGTTTCTTTTAGGAGTTGTGGTTTCAGTAAGTAGAGGGTGTATGCATTAGCCTATACCCATCTGTGTGTGTAACACAGCGCGTGTTTCAGTGCTGATCGTTTGTATGGAGAATGGCAATTTACTTGCTGTAATGGAACACAAATTACAAGACCACTACATGATTCAGACATTCGTCAGTTTGGGATGTGGATTTGCAATTATGACTAGTCAACTGCCCTGAGGGCTACTAAACCTAACCAGCAATGTGAGGCCTTCTATGAAGTGTTGAACTGGGCTTTGGACCACTACCTCCCAACTAACACCACCAAATTGCACTCGCAGGACATACCATGGATGAACCCTGCAATCAAATCACCATTGGGAAGCGACAAGACGCCTTCCATCATAAACAACATAGAACATGGAAACAACTAAAAAACAAAGTCATCCAAGCCATACGCCTTGCTACAAAGAAACACTACATCACCAGAATACAGACACACAAGGCATCTTACCCAGCTGGATGGTACAGAGGAGTAAAAGCCATTACTCATGGTCATCAGGTGGGAGCAACAATTAGTGTGCCAGACAAAGACCTAACGAGCCCAGTCCAGGTAGCTAACCATATCAACAAGTTACTGATGGCTGTCACTGACGATCTTCAGCCTGTTGATACAGCTCAACTACCTGCATATCTACCACCACAAGTACCCCCTCCCAACGTCCAACCCTGGGAGGTGTACCATCAACTAAAACCTGTCAAAATTGGCAAATCAAGTGGACCGGGTAATGTACCCGCTTGCATTATCAGGGAGTTCGCGTATGAACTGAGTGCTTCCCTGGCCCACATATTCAATTCAATTCATGTGGAGTGGTTCCTGACCTGTGGAAAAGAGCCATCATTGTTCCAATTCCCAAAACATCCCCGGCTGTGGCTGACAAGTTAAGGCCGATTGCTCTCACGGACCATTTTGCCAAAGTCCTTGAAGGGTTTGTTGCCAGATGGACCTTAGAGGACTTGGCACCTAACAAAGATCAACACCAGTTTGGAAATCGCAAGGGATTTGTTGACTTGCTGCATATGTTGCTCCAGCATGCAGAGAAAGCTAAAACAACATCCACATTTATCTTAACCGACTTCAGTAAGGCTTTTACAAGACCACTACTTTGCTATCACAAAACTGCTTGTCATAGGAGTTGAACCCACACTGGTCCAATATTACAACGAGCAAATGGAGGGTTTCACTCTGGAACAGCGGAATAACCATTTAAATCTTCTTGAAAGTGTACGTTCACTCAAACTTATACTTGGCTCTGATTGTAATCATTATCAACATGCCCTAGATACCCTCAGAATACCTACCTTGAGTGACAGACACACTAAGTTGTGCCTTAAATTTGCCACAGACCTGAAAGCAAATTCTAAGCTGAGTAATATCATCCCTTCTCGCCCCACAAATAACAGAGTGCTACGTAATGTGCAGTGTTCCTCAGTTGCAATGTTGAACAAGTAGATTTAAGAACAGTGCAGTACCCTACTGGTATCTCATTGATTTAATTAATTCTAAATTATTCCTGTTTTAAATTGTTGTTATTATTGCCTGACTTAAAGTTCACAAATTGTTAGACCTTGCCATAAGTTTTATCCTTTTTAGGGAAATCCTGGGCTGTTGTCAACCTTTGACCTTAACTCAAAACCTTCCTTTTTCGTTAGGTTCATGAAGTTTTTGTTTTTAATTAATTGTCTGTCAACAGTACTGCCACATTGCCGATTTTGCCATACATTGTGTTGTTGTTGTTAATAGAGTTAAACAATTTTTGCTTTTGATATAACGCAGACATATTCATGTGTGTAAAGTATTAGCAGGACGTAAAATGTTACCATGACAAAAAAAAATTAGATTCTGCAAGGAATAGATTCTTGGTCCTAATAAGTTATAGTTTCATTACATCTCTACACATTCCTTGTGCTGCTAATATGTTTTAGCAAATGTATTATGCCTCATCTCTTATGATAATGTTGCATCATTTAAAGAGGTATAACATTTTTGTGATTTTGATGATTTTCTTAACTGTGTGCATGTATCTGCAGGAGTGCCCAGATGATACTCTTCCCAAGCTGGTATCATTACCTCCCATGGCTAAAGCCTTCCTGAGGAGAATTGATGTCTTATGTAGATTTGTCGAAGGTTTGTAATTAATAGGTTTGTGTGCATTGCATGAAGTAGTGTAGTGCATTCTATGAAGTACCAAGGGTTTTAGTTTTTTCCCTCAAGATGAGGCAGTTGAACTGTAAAATTTCAAATAGTTAAAAAAATTGAAGAAAACAATGGCATTTCATGTGGAACGATCAGGAGTATGAAATCTTGTATTCCGAGAGCCCAGTGAGGTTTAATTAGAATATCGCGCGCACAAAAGGTTTGATGGTGGCAGCGAGTAGATGGGGGTGTCCAACCTTCAAAATCGTCATTCTTAAGTGTCACACCCCGTGCGTTTTGGGAGAGGGCAACGCCTAAAGACCCCCCAAAATTGACTTTTAATTAGAATATCGGGCACAAGCACGGTTCCAACGCAAAAAGATACTATTCGATTAACTTATCAATGACCAATAACTTAAAAATGAGAAATCCCGTGCATTCCATACTTAAGAATGGCCTAATTAGCGCTAATTAGTTACCGTTAATAAGAATTTTGAGCACAAGAGCGAAACCTTCACTAAAAGCTAATTAGCTAATATCTTTTTGCATGGGAACTGTGCTTGTGCCCGATATTCTAATTAAAAGTCAATTTTGGGGGGTCTTTAGGCAGTGCCCGCTCCCAAACGCACGGGGTGTGACACTTAAGAATGACGGTTTTGAAGATTGGACACCCCCACCTACTCGCTGCCACCATCAAACCTTGTGTGCGCGATATTCTAATTAAACCTAACTGGGCTCTCGGACTATCAGCTTTAAAGCTGATTTCAGCTTTTTTGATTTTGGATTTGAGCTTTTTTCCCTCACTTGCTGTGTATAAAAGTATAGGAGATTTCCAAAGTTCAGCTTTTTTACACCTTTTTTCAGCTGTTTTCAGCTATTTTTATCAGCGGTTGCTCACACCCTGAATGATAATGGATAAATTCAAATTAAATAAGTTTTATTTTTGCGCATTTTTTTTTTTTTTTAATATTTAAAAAAATTCTTCAGCAGAGCAATGACAGTAGCTTTTGTTCGCCCTTTTGGATGCAGCTTGGGGAAGGGGGGGGGGGGGAGGGGGGCTCTGATGAACTTGCACACACAAGTGTGTAAACATCTTCGATCATGGACCCCTATTGTCCCTCTTTTCTTTATACTCTAGCTTTTTAGGAAGCCCTCCCATATTTTGTTTACACACATCAAAAATGGATCGTTGGTCAATCGTGGACCCTATGTCCTCTTTTGTTCAATTTTTCCGATTTAAATGTGAACACATGTAAACACGCCCAGACAGTCGTGTTTTTCTATACGCACAAGGACAATGCTTTGTGTTTGGCTTTGTCCCTGTAATATAACACCCTCCCATAGACTAAGCACATTGATCGAGGACCGTTTTCAACAAAAGAGCCAATGCTCAAGGACTGAAAGGAGCTCCTTTTGTGTGTCTGTCCTCTATCGTAAAGTCAAACACACACACACACACATTCTTGTTCCATAACTTCAGGACTACACACAAGTCTTTCCAATGGTACTATGGGGACTGAAGACGCTGTGGGGACAGCAGAAAGTCACCACAACTCGATCTTAATTACCCTAACGATAAAAAAACTTCCCCATAATAAGGTGATGGCCCGCCCACACATTCTTGTTCTGTAACTCTGGGGACTACTCACGTGTTGTCCCAAGGTATTATGGGGACCGAAGACGTTGTAGGAAAGGCAGAAAGTCCCCATAACTCGGTCCTAATTTCCCTATCAATAAAAACTTCCCCATAACGCGGTGACACCCCGCCCATATATCTTGCCAAATGGGTAGTTAGTAGTTATTTGGTGCCACTAATCACCTTTACTTCCCTACTATTGTTCTTTGTTTTCTATAGAAATCTGAAACTCCATAACATTTCACATGTGGGATACTGAGATTTCTAAAGACTGACTTACGGGGTACTTTCATCCCTATAGTTACCCTTTGTTCCCGCTACCCCACATGACCGTTTACATGTATACCCACACATTCACTTTTTTTCACTCTATAGTATAGCAACCATTTAAAAAAAAAACAAGTGATCCGCGATCGCATGTGTCATCTTTTTTTCGGGGTCGATCCCTATATTTTATGTGTTCTTAAAAAAGGCCAATTTTGTGCATATATATTTAAACAACGACCTGAAATGACCCCTACATGACCTTTGACCTCAGTAATCAGATGAAGAATTGTGTCTTTCCACCCAAGGGTACGGTCACTGTATCTAAGTTTCATCAAAATCCATGAAAGCATGTAGAAGTTATACATTTTTTGTTAAAAAAAATTAACACATGGGGATACAGAATTTAGGACTGGTAAGTGTCCCCCAAAACTTCATTTAGGTGACACAAAAAAATGACTTGTTGCATTTTTTTTTTTAAGTGCCTTTTGCTGCAATCATTTTGAAATGATATTGAGTGGTACTGGAACCTGTAATTTGGTGGTTGGTCTCTGCAAATTGTTCAGTAAAATCTAAGGACTTCTTACCTTCACCCCTGGAAGACTATCTACTGCCTCTTCTATGGTGCACTAAATGTAAACAGATAATTAACCAGTGTGACTAAACCAGTGACATTTCCTTAGTGTCATATTGTAATGTAACATGAGCATACCAGTGACTTGTCATTTCATTTATTAAAAGTGTCAGTCAAAATGTCTCAAAAAATTCCCAACTGTATAGCAAGACTAATATATATTAATGCAATATGCATGTTATTTGTTGTGTACAGATCAATTCTGTCTGAAAGACTGGGCCCTTGTACAGCGAGACAAAGCTATTGTTTCATACGAGAATACTATACGCAAGCATGGATACCAAGACGCCACACTTGAGCTGTTTGGGTCTTCAAGAAATGGGTTTGGGTTTGCAAACAGTGACATGGACATCTGCTTGAAATTCCGACACATTCAAACTGCAGAGGTTGGTACAGTATTTATATCCAGAAAAAAGACTCGACAACTCTTGTAGTGAAATTTGTAACCTTGATGAGAAACGGAAGTAGTACTCCATTAAGTATTTTGTGCCTTATAAGACTTCTCACTTGCAAACCATAATATACTGAGCATCTCATTTACATGTTTTCATTTACGTATTGTGTGATATTGGTTCAATTATTTTTTTTTAATGACTTTGTAGCATGCCTGAAATTAAGGGCCTGTCACATTACATGCGCTCTCATAGGAGACTTTACGGCGACCAAAAATATTTCATAAATTTAACAATCGCAGCAAGGACGCAAGAAAATGACAACTTTCTGTCTCAAAGAAGCTCAAGCTACACTCATACTGTGCTCATCTCGCGCTTACGATGCGTTCAACTCGCTCTCTATACGCCCCTGTCAAGCCCAATTACTCGATCTAGTTGCTGCCGCTGCGCTGTCACTGCACCCATGCTCGTGCCATATTTTCAAAGGGGAGCGCCTACAATCAGGCACACTATATTAACTAAAAGTGTAAAAATGCACCCTTCTCACAACTATTTATTTAGGGGGAGACCATTCGCATGTAGTCACATTTTTACATTTTGCTAGTGCAATTTTTTTTTTACGGAATTTGGGGGGGGGGGCCAATTGTTTATATAATGTAATTTTAGATTGGAAGGTTTCCCTTTGTATTCAGTGTTGCCTTCTTTTATTTGTTTTTCTGTTTTCAGGACATAGACATTCCAAACATCATTGAAGACCTTGCTAAAAAGTTGAAAAGACACTCGAACCTGCATCATATCATCCCAATCTCAACAGCAAAAGTGCCTATTGTCAAGTTTGTTGATCCATACATGAAAATAGATGTTGACATCAGTCTCTACAACTGCCTTGCACAGGCCAACACACGCATGCTGTATGTGTACTCCAAGATTGATCCAAGAGTAAGACAGTTAGTCTACACAGCGAAAGTGTTTGCCAAGGTAATCATTCATGGGAACTGAACATTTTACAAAGGAGCATCATAGTTTTATTGCTTAGAAGATGCAAAACATATTTGAACAATCACAAATAAAAGACTTTGATCCCTTAAAATAGTAACTTAGTCCTATGAATTTTCATTCCTTTACAGAAAACAGCTCACCTCCGTTTACTTACCTTTGCATAACAATTCTTGCGCATGCACAAAGGCTCACTGAAAAAGTTGCCCAATCTACACCATCTGTGCCCACTGCATGTCCCATAATAACAATAGTAGGCCTAACTGGTGCATGTATTTATAAAGTGCCTTTGCCAAAGGATACAAAGTGCTCATTATAACCCATGTTCATCAGTGCATGAGACCATTTTTCTGCAGCAGCTCAAGGTCAGCACATTCTGGTCAGGTACCCATTTAGACTCATGGGTGGAGCGAGGTCAATGTTGTATAGTGCAGGGTCAATAACAGTAGGTAGTCAAGATAGATTGCTTGAACTTCTTCAAGGATAGAGTGATTTGTTTCACATTGGGGTCAACGACAGTGGCACAAGCAGGATTTTTTTTGGGGGGGGAGGGGGCACAATTGAGCAGATGTCAAGTAAAATGGAATTGTTAAACACATTTTTTTGTTTATTATTTTTTAACTCTTCGGGGGGGGGGGGGGGGGGGAGGGGGTGTTAAATACATCATGATGACAACCAACCAACCTACCTACTTTTGAATGGTCCTCAATATGGCAACGGGCAGAGCAACTCCAATAGGATTTTTTTATCTCCGTACATTGTATTTTCAGTTTGTCTTCAATCCTCCCAGCCAGAATACTCCAAATTTGAGGGCCTACTTAGATTTTTGTTATAGAGAGATCAGCTAAGTACATGTATGTTCAAGTTGAGTGAGTTTGACACCATATGTTATTGGTGACTGGTAACCAATACGTTGGGAATTGTGTCCTTATGCTTTTTGACCTATGGACTTTGGACCCCTCCTGCATTTTGTTAAAGTTTTGGTGGTTTGGTGTAAACATCTCCACCCATATTATACCAGAATGCGCAGAAGGGGGAATGGAAAAGGGGGGGGGGGATCTGATCCATCAGCAAAACATGCAGTTTGACCATAGAGTAAAATATTACAGAAATAAAATCTAGAAATGATGAATGCGTGTAGGAGTTGTTCTGCTGCCCGAGTTGTAAGCATCTGCCAAATTGCGGCAATGCGCCATAGGTGTATGTATGATGTCTGGCAGATGTTGGGGATGTACATTTCCAAATTCATGTACTGGTAGAACGCAACATTTTGATTTTAGTGGCAGCGCTACTATTTGGCAGCTCCACTTCAGGCTCCGATTTTTTTACTTTGATCGACCTATTCTTCTGCAATTTCTATCATGATTTTTATACCAAGAGACAGAGTAGGAACCGCTGATTATCATGGTTCGCCAAACTCACTGTGATATGATCCCATTCTGGAGAATATTTGGGATCATTTTCTGGACATTGCTGTGTACTTTGATCATCAGTACAGCAGTCCATGCTCCAGCTTCCACACGACATCGATCACTAACAATAGCGTTCAAGAAGACGAGCACTTTGGACCATCACCAACAACAGCAATCAGTGCCTCAACACCTACATGGATTAGTCAATTATCAGCAAAGGATAGCAATGATGACTTCTGCCCAGGCGTTCTATCCACAATTGAAGTACATATACCAACCTACAGAGCTCTATTCCCTGTACCAAGGGCCTGATTTCTACACCACATGTCCACTCCAGCCACAGATATGCCACAGATATGCAGGAAACATCAGACGGACACCATGCATGATTCATGCACCAGTGGACATCATAAAGACAGACCCTCGAAAAGGCCAAACTCTATGAAGACGAACTCATAGAGGTTGCAAAGCAGGGATTCACAGAAGGAGGCCAACTCCCCAAAGTTTGATTCCAGTAATTATTGGTTATGGAAGACAAACATCTTTTCCCGACGGTGAATATCATCCGGACTATCTGCACAATGGATCTCCTTACTGTTGCCGTAGTTACCTAGTGCAGCTTACTGGAAACAAGAGGGTGAAAGTAGAACATACCACCTCCTTCTGTATGCTCAATGCAAGATCTCTGAAAAATAAAACCAGCAAATTCGTTGACTTTGTTATCGATAATAAATTTGATATTGTCGGTGTCTGTTAGACATGGCTATCTGCTGACGATGATGCTGTAATTGCAGAACTCAACCCTGGAGGATACACGTTCAAGCACATACCAAGGACAGGTAAACGAGGTGGCGGTGTCGCCTTTCTATATCGGAGTGATTTAAATGTACAAATCCATCCAGCCCTTGATAACATCAATTCCTTTGAACTGATACAGATGGATATCATCCAGAACTCAAACGCTGTACACCTGGTCGTCGTCTACAGACCTCCAGGATCATCAACTCCTTTCAAAGATTTTCTAAATGAGTTCTCGGATGTACTGGACAACTACCTTTTCAAGAAGGCCAGTTTGATTATTTCCGGAGATTTCAACATCCACGTTGAATCGTTGATACAACTTCACCTGATGCCAGAGGTTTCTGTGATGTTCTAAGTGCATATGGCCTTGAGCAACACATCCGTCAGCCAACCAATATACGTGGCCACACTCTAGACCTGCTCATTTCACGGAGAGGGATCGACCCCACAGGACTGTCTGACATTGACAAAATTGTGGTATTTCTGATCACTCCGCCATTACTTGTAACCTGCATACTCCAAGTCTGCGAACTGCCCGGAAGTCTGTTGTGTCACGAAACATTCAGTCTATACAACCTACCTTGCTTCATTGAGGATTTGACTGAAACGTCATTTACAAAGAAATGCATTGTGAGCAACGTAGATCTTGCTGTCGGCAGCTACAACTCCATTCTGATAGCTACTTGAACACACATGCTCCTGTTCAACAACGTTCAGTGACAGTTCGACCAAATACTCAATGGTACACCCAGAAATAGCAGATGGAAAACTTCTTCGCAGGCAGCTTGAAAGAAAATTGGCGATCATTCAAGCTTGAAATACATCGACAGCTGTATCGCCAGCTATGTCAGCGAGTCCAATCGTTAGTTCGTGCTGGAAAAACAGGGTACAACTTGAAACGAATTGACAACTGCTCAGGTGACACGAAAAGACTGTTCAGAGTTAAAAGCGATCTTCTGAACAGAAAGCAGCCTTCCCCTCTTCCAACACATGTTTTCGTTGAAGATCTAGCTACTCATTTCAGCAACTTCTTCACCAGCAAGATGGAATCTATTCGTGCTAGTCTGCCAGTCATCGATCACATAAAACTTGTGCAGTCTTAGACACTCTTGCTCCTGCATCTGCAGATGAAGTTTGCAACATCATTGCAAGGTTACCAGCAAGACTGTATGCTGGAGAAAACGTACAGGGTCTTTGTCCTGTACTTTGTTATGCTTTTATATACCAATACATAACACAGAGCCAGGTGATGTTCTTCCTTTGTTTTATTCGCTAGATGGAGGGGGGGGGAAGGAGGAAATCCACGGATAAGCGGGACAATAATTTTGTGTTACCAGCCGCGACTACCTAGGGAATGGTTTTTACTAGTCCGCCGCTTTTTTTACTCGATTTGGAGAGTGGACTACAGCTAAAGATGATGCCTTGATGATTTTCACTACTTAATCTATCGTGACAGGATGGAATGCTTTTGACAGGAGACTGGCATGTTGGACTGGGATCAGGGTTATCTGCCAGAGTGGGGTTGGGTGTGGAGAATGTCATCTCTGATTCTAATTATTTTCTCAACGAAGTGGGTTGAGAAGTAGTTGGCTATTCCACAGAAGATAAAGTAATTGGAAACCTGGGAGTTGTGCTTCTATGCGTGAGATAATTTGTTAGTTTGAAGAATTCTGTCTGATTTCCTTCGCAGCTATTGATTTTGTGGTGGTAATAGCTGGACTTCACTTTGTTGAATGTGTGTTTAACCAGGTCTTGTTGCGCCTTGAAATTGTCATGATCAATTAGACCCTTGATTTTCCACTCATGATTTTCCACGTCTCACATTTTGTTTTCAAATTTTGTGCATATATCTATGACCTCGTGCTCACCCTCATGCCTACCAAGTCCTGCAAGGACATAGGGGGACGTGACGGATGCTAACCTTCCAAACCTATTACAAAAGAATTCAGCATATTTTATTCGTAAAATATGTTTAATGGTCAAACCATAAATGACACGATGATGTCGTCATAACTCACTTAAATTTTTACCTGTAACACATCCCTTTCTCAGTATATACAAAGTTTCAGTTCGAACTTGTACTTTCGTAGATATAGGGTCTCAGAAAATTCACCTTTAATGCAACGTTGCATGACACATGATGATGTCAGCTTGACGTGAATGTTTCCACACATCTGCAGGTGGTAGTCATTGTATGTGCCAAATTTAAAGTTGGTCATATTTATAAAAGTGCCTAAGTGGGTGTCTGGAAGAAAAACATACAATTCCTATGGAGAGAGTCTGAAAAAGAAGGAAAAAGAAGAAAAAAATCTTAACAGAAACAAGCTGTTTCAGCTGGGTTGCCGAAACATCTAAAACAAACAGCTTGATTTGCATGAACAAAAAGGGGGTTCTGGCCATGTATTATTGGGGTCATTTATCAGAAACAAAAAAATAGTTGATACCTGTCATTTTCAATCAGTCCGTTTGGCTAATAGACGTGTGATATACTTGATATATAACAAAATCTGAGATGGTGACCATCTAACCACTAGTGGAGTTGGCATTGACTTACCCTTTTGCATTTTCACAAGATTTGATAGTACCGGTATTCAAGATGAATATTACCTAAAAAATTATTACTGAAGTAATATTTACTGCAAAACACAATTTTTCAGCTGAATTTTTGGAACATTTTATTTGGTACTAATTATGCATAATGAAGTTTATACAAAAAGTGGAAATGGCCATGAATGGATTGTTTGACAGTGGCACTCAGACTAGCAAGTTGTGACACTGTCAACTTAATCCATTGATATAAATTTCCTTGGGTAGACTAGGGCTTTATCCTGAGGGCATGTACATTTTGTCAAGGCAGCAGAAATGTCTCGGATTCTAATTCCTAAAGCGTTGCATACATATCTGCTCATAATGAAAACAATCTTTGTTAGAAGACCAAAAATATCGTGGAGTAGCATGTTTGTTTCTGTTAGAAAATACTTTTCCTGTTAAATTCTTTAGCGGGCAGAAATATGTTTAATGGAATTTTTGAGCAGTGGGCAGATACATGAACTGAAATTGAACTTTGATTTCCTTTCAATATAAAGTAACAAATAATAAATGTCTCACTCTTGACTTTCTAGCCCTTTTATTTACTGGTTATTTTTAACTAAAGATATGTTTTATTACCAGGTTCATCAATTTAACAAAGTTCTTTTCATTCTGACTGGATAGATGTGTGATATTGGAGATGCCTCCAAGGGAAGTCTGTCATCCTATGCCTACACGATCATGACTATATTCTTCCTACAACAGAGGAAGCCACCTGTACTCCCAGTTTTACAGGAGGTATGATGTGAATTTCAGCGTATTGGCCGATTACACTTCGCAAAATTCTGATTAATTTGAAATTCACTAATACACAATTGATATGCTTCCAATTTTAATGGGTTAACAAAATTAACAAAAACAATCATGTCATGCAGTTTGTCTCAATATTCCTTCATTCAATCAATATTAAACCAACTATATTGACTGATTCAACAAATCTGTTTTCTTTTGCACCTCTGACGGAAATAATGCTGTTATAACAAAAATAGCAAAGATAGCGGCTGGCACCACACGATAGTGAATGGACGAGTTAGATTTAAGCTCTCGCTAATGAGTATTTATGAAATATAATAAATTGGAACTTCACACAACTCCCATTAAACATCTGGTATTTGTAAATCATGCTCAGAATGCTCTACTTTGTAACAATTTCTTCTTAGAACATGTGGTGAATAAGTGAATCTCCATATTAATTATCACAAATACTGATTCTTTTTCTGTACAGCTGTATGGTGGCAACGAAAAACCTGAAAACTTAGTGGAGGGCTGGAATGCATGGTTCTTCAGTGACCTAAAGGAACTGGTAATGTAACTTTCTTAACTTATTAATGCGTCTCACTCTCACCTGATGGACCTCATTAACCAATGCCCATACCACTTTGTAGGATTTTATCATCGAGTAAAAAACGGTACGTCTCTTAACCCATCAAAATGTGCTTTGTTGCCCATTTCTAGGTGACGTCAAAATGTATTCACTCACAATTACAATATACTTGGCAAGAACATATTAGCTTCTACGGAACATAAATATCTTGGAGTAATAATACAATCTGATCCTCAATGGCAAAAAAACATGTAAATGCTGTATGTTCTAAAACATTCAGCATTTACAACAAACCAGCTCTATTTAGCATTGTGTAAACCGATCATTGATTACGCTAGCCCCATATGGTTTCAATCTTGTAATAAGTGTAATACAAATCGTATATATAAAGGATTCAACGGGATTTTACTCAATTCTACTTCCACCAACATGCAATTAACCATGACGCAGATGACTATTTGGATTACTCCCAGGGGCTGTCACAACTAAAACTTCTTTCACTTGAATCAAGGAGAAAACAGTTAAGTCTCTGTTTTTGTTACCAAATTTTTTACAATCATACTGATGTTGATAACAAACTCTCTTCAAACTATTCAACCACATGGTCTCAACATCCAACTTGGAAATGATTAATCCTTTTCTTCCTCCATTGTCTTCTGTTACAGATAATCCATCTGGTCTTCCTTGTTTGTGTTTACCCACCTTCCCTGATCTTTCATCCCTTTCCACCTCAATACTGTTCCCCCCCCCCCCCCCCCCCCCCCATCATCCCTTCACTCTCACACTCTTTTGTCCGTTCCCACTCCCTGTGACCTTTGATCCTTCCCCTTTCTGGTCCCTCCCCTGTTTACACCAGACCCCTTGTGGTTTGCCATCTCCCTTTGTTTCTTTGTTCTCTCATCCACCCTCCCCTGCATCTTTCCACACCTTTCACACCTAATCCTCCTTTTGTGTTTCTTCTTTCAGCCCTGCATGTTTGTGTGCACCCCCATGTTAATGTATGTACCTCTGTCATTTCTGTTTTAGCCTCTGAAGAAGAACTTGCTAAGTTCGCAACGTCAGGCCACATTAATTTTAAGATTTAACAAACTCTTTTGTGTAAACCATCATAGAGATTTCCCAACCAGTCTCATTCCGTACTCCAGATGTAACACTCTTAGGCCAAAAAAAAAAGTCTCCGGTTTCTGGTATGTGCGCGCGTCGCCGTAGCCATGCGCGTCGGCAAAATGAAAAAGTTTTTTTTCAATGAAAGACGATGTTTCAAAACCGCCAAACTCACTGGTTTGACTGGAATCCTGCTGCTGCACAATTTTAACGTGTTTTTAGATGGGGTTATGATCGAGAATAAGCTTTATGTGGCCTCTCTGGACTCCCATATATTTGCACTAAGTTTAGTCGAGCACCATTGCAGTCATCAGCCGACATTTGAAGCAAAAAAGTCAGGTAAAAAAAAAAAAAAACGCATCGCCGCACCACTTTTTGGACAAGCTCCATACCAGAAACCGGAGACTTTTTTTTTTGGCCTTAAGAATTCTTTTTTTCATCGCCTACCTGCTTTGTGAAACTCATTACCCATTAAAATTCTTTGTTCTACATCACCTTCCTCCTTCAAAAAAAGCTGTTGACAGTTTTCTCCTAGAGTAAAGTTGCAGTGGTGGACAGCCGTTGGGGTTAAAGTTTACTTAAATTCAACGATAAGTGTAATAATAATTGAATGTAAGTAATATTTGAGTGGTCGGGCACAACCCGACCACTCTCTGTTATTGTTCTGATAAATCTGTATTTTTTTTCTGGACAATACTTCTCCCTGGGTTTTCTCCTAAACAGTATATGGTATGAACTACTTTCCCTCCTCGACTCGCCCCTCTACTGGCCTCTTGTAAATCAGTATAGCTACTTAACGAACATCCATGGGAATAGAACCTGGAGAGGAGAAAACTTTCATGATTAAACACACCAGACTTATCCACTCGACTACAAGTGGTTGTTGCCATTGAGAGGCCGTTTGATATATTTAAAGTGCCTGTTGAAGATTAATGAATATCCAATATGTTAAATATTCATGAGAAATTAAATGTTCATTATGAGGTATCACATGTTATTGGTTAGTGCGTTGTCATGTGCACCGCATACTTCTAGACTCTTCTAAATGGCTGCCTACACAATCGGCTGGCTGAACGATGTTTGCTGCCAAATATGCCTTGAAAACACATCTTTCCTTATACATACAATACAATTAGGCATTTATAAAGCGCCCTTCAAGGAACACAGCGCTGTACAAGGTAATACATATAATAAATTACACAATGAACAATGAAACTCAAAATACAGAACATCAGTAACAAAATGAAGTACAAAGCAATACAAGAAATTAGACAAACGTGTGTTTTCAGAAGGCCTTTGAAAATGCCCAAGGTTTTGGCCTCCCTGATGTTGATGGGAAGACAGTTCCAAAGGCGTGGTCCAGCGGCTTGAAATGCTTTATCACCTGTACGGGTTCTGGTTTTAGGCACAGTGAGAAGAGTTGAGTCTAGCGAAGAGCAAGTGGCATATCTAGGTTTGCGAAATGAAATCAGATTTTGAAGATACCCGGGGCTTGTGAATGAATGCATTTGTAGACGATGACACGGATTTTGAATTCAATACGTTTACGGATTGGCAGCCAATGAAGACGACATAACAAGGGGGCACTGGAAGTATCACGCCCTACCAAAAATATCAGTCTTGCCGCTCTATTTTGTAGGCGTTGAAGACGAGTTAGGTCATAGTCAGTGGCTCCAAACAGTAAGGCGTTACCATAGTCGATCCGGGAAAACACAAGAGCTTGAACAGCAAGCTTGCAAGTATCCTGATCTATAAAACGGCGAATTCTTGACAGATTGCGTAGATGGAAGCTGACACATTTAACAACAGATGAGATTTGGCAAGACATGTTCAAAACAGGATCAAAGAAGACTCCAAGATCCTTCAGTGTCTGTGTCGGGGCGATGGTGACATCATCAAGAATTAGCTTGACGTCTGAAAGACTACGGATAGTTCTCTAAGAAGCTGCAACAAAAAACTCTGTTTTTGCTTGGATTAGTTGCAGCTTGTTTTGCGACATCCATGATTTTATTTGTTGTACACATGTTCTGAGTTTGTTAAGTGCCAACTCGCATTCACCATCAATTCTCGGATTGAAACCGACATAAATCTGCATGTCGTCCGCACTAATGTGGAAGTTGACATGATTCTTGCGTAGAATGTCCCCAACTGGATGAGTGTACATTGTATACCCTCTTGGCCCTATGATGGATCCCTGAGGGAGGCCAAAATCCAATTGATGTTCCTTTGAAAATTCACCTGAAATTGAGACACAGTTTTTCCTGTTTCTTAGGTAGCTTGCAAACCAATTCAGAGCACGACCCTTAAAATGGAAGTTATGACAAAGCCGACTGACAAATATTGCATGATCGATGGTATCGAACGCAGCCGATAGATCTAACATAACAAGAAAGACTGCGTTCTTGTTGTCAATAGCAGAGGCAATGTCATTCCTTACCCTAAGAGGAGCCGTCTCAGTGGAATGAAAAGGTTTATAGGCCGATTGAAATGGCTCATCCAAGCTGTTATGAAGATGGTGAGACAACCTACTAGAAGCTGCCATTTCAGCGACCTTAGCGACAACCTTGATATTAGATATGGGCCTATAATTCTTAAGAATATTAGGATCCATAGTCTGCTTTTTTATGATAGGTGTCACTATAGCATCTTTCAAAGAATTTGGGAAAATACCTGTTGCAAAAGATACATTGACAATGTTAGCCAAGGCTTTAATGAAAAGGCTTGAATTGTCTTTGAGGAGCCACATCGGGATAGGATCGAGCAGACATGATTTGTTGGAGCACTTGTTAAGCATACAAGCCATTTCCTCGAGAGAAACAGGCTTCAGTTCATGAAGCTCAGTGGTATCATCACTCTCGACATTTTCAAACCTTTCCATACCACCCGACGTGCTTTCCAAATTACCAACAACCTGTTGATCATTCAATACACAGGAGTCAATATCAGATTGAAGAATTTGTGGGCAAGATTCCAAGTCAAGATTTTGTCTGATTAGCTGTATTTCTTCAACAAAGAAGGTTGCAAAACGATTTGCCAATTGAGACACAGAACCACATGCTGGAAGTAATTTTGTGGTGTTATTAAGCAATGAGTTGAGAGTGCCAAATTGTTATTTACTGTTGGCAGAAAAGAGCTTGTCGTGAAAATATTTACGTTTTGCGACAACTTTTGCAGTTGTTTCCTTAGATGTTTCAACTTTACGGTCGACAAAAACATGGCCGACTTGCCGCGACAATTCGAGGAAATTTATGATACATCAGGTCGTAGCATTCTGCCGCCTCACAAAAAACACCATCTCGATAAAAAGAAAAGAAAAACTAAAGATATTTGAATCACACATTTACTAAACTACTGACCGGACAAAATAACAAGTATAAGTGTCCGCGCCATGGCGAATTTGTATTGTGTTGTTAATTTTCCTCTTGTAATAAGTCACTTGTCCTTGTACTTATATGTTTAACAAAGTTAATGTCATAATGTAGCTATAATACGGGTGATATAGGAAATTGGATAGGGGGAGGAATAAAAGCCCTTGGCTTCTCCTGACCCCCTATGCTGATGCTTCTGTGCATCTATCTTAAAATAAGTTAATCCAAACGTAATTTATGACTTGTTTTAATTTTACTACTTATAATGTATACATCCAATGTTACTGTCAGCATGAATAAAACAGTGGAAGTACTTGAATTAGAAAAAAATGGACTGTCTCCCACAACGCACTGTGAAAAATGGACTCTCCTTGACAACCTCTTGGTGGCGCACTGTATTGGGAATCGCCCATATTGATGTATAGATTTTCGTTATTTATTTCGTTTTACTAACAATTTCATATTACAGAGGCACATTTGGAGAAGTAGCAACAAGGAATCTGTGGGAGAATTGTGGCTAGGATTTCTGCGTTTCTTCACAGAAGAGTTCAGTAGCAAGAAACATGTAGTGTGTATTAGACAGCATCAGCTGCTATCACGCTTTGAGAAGATGTGGACTGGTTCTGCACGTGGATTCGCCATCGAAGATCCGTTTGATCTGGATCACAATTTAGGCAGTGGGGTCTCTCGAAAGAGTAAGTTAACCATTATTCCACATCAGAGCATTGTTATTTATGTTTTAGAATACTTATAACTGATTGACATTCCCATTTCTATGAACACAAGCTTGCGAGTATCTCAATGCTAGCAACAGCTGCTCGCAGAGGCAATGTGTTGAATTCACTGCTTTTTTCCTTGAGATTGAGGAAGGCATGCCAAAATCTCTTTTTATTCTCTTCCAAATGCTTCTTCAGGCATTTTGAATGAAGACACCTAATGCCCCTATGTTACTCATAAAGGCAAGATTGTGGCCACCAGTAGTGATGATCTTAACCAAATAGCAACTACATTTGCATGTTTCCCTTTGCCGGCAGGCCAATCCGCTAAGTATTTTATCGCACAATAATGCGCTTCTTGGTGCCCATCCATGATGCCATGCTGCGTCGCCGCCATATTGAATCTGCCTCTTTTCTCTTAGCGACGTAGGAGACCATACGACTTTAGTACGACGATAGACCGTACTTATCGAAGCCTGCATCAGGTGGATACGAGTTACTCACCCTGGACTCAACCCACATTACCACTACCGCCCACGGTGAGAAGAAACAGTCTTCTCCTCGTGGCGTTTACTGCTTTTTGCAGCAGTGGTCTTTGGTCGATAGCGGATAGAAACAGGGACAATCCCTTCCGAGCGACCACACACCGCTAGTGGCATATGCACATACGTCAAGGCAATGTCTGATCTGTGAGCGAATGACTCTATTGTTATTTTTAATTGCATTCCTGTGTGCAGTGGTTGTGTCACAACGCACCATTCATAACAAAAGCGCACTGTGTTCTTAGTGTTTTCTTGCGGTGCATCCAACCGAGTACATTGTACAGTGTATTCTTTGCTATGGCATCGCGTAACAAGCACAGGGAACAGTCCCCCGATAAAATGGAACCCACAGCGGAGAGCTTGCTGACTGACGCCTCTATGGGGAAACAACACAGGAAAGTCCCGGCAAAGAAACCGACGAACACTGAAACAACTCCCGTCTGTCCGAAACCAAAGAAAAAGACTACAGATAGCCCATGCACACCATCGGAACCTGCTGGCTTATTGACCACGGTACCACCAAATGGATCAAGCCAGTCCTCCAAGGACACAAGGGGGAAATCCTTCGGTCCTGGTGGTAATTCCACGGCCCCCGTTCTGCCGACGGACGAACTACCAATAACCCAACCGTCCTCACACGGCATGGCATATAGCTCTGGATCAGTGCTCTGGAGTTCCAGTGCTTAATCTTTCAAGTACTCAAGACAGTGTAACAAGTCGTACCCAAAAGAAAGATAAGAAACACGTTAAAAAGAAACATAAGCGCCGATACCGATCTTCATCGTCCTCATCAGGCGACTTTTTCGACGGACATTCCCGTCATTCACAGAAGAAAAAGAGGTATCTACTGAGGTTTTTATGGAAGCCTTTCAGTCTCTCAGTGACTCTATATCCGCTCTTGCGGCACAAAGAGCCCCACCAGTCTCTACCTCCCCTTATGTGGAACAAACATCCAAATCGGGAGGACACACTTCCGTGCCGAAGGTTCAAGATAATTCAGACATACCTTCAACTTCGGGAGTTACACGGGAGGCACGTAAAATTCCTCACGCATTCATTTCAATCCACCCATCTTCGCAGTTCTCTGACAGGACCGAGAACAATGCTGAAAAATCAGAGTGGAGTGCCACAAACCCAAACTATGAATCATCCCCGGACTTGTTCGAATTCCAATGATTTTGCAGACCCAGGGGACCTGTCTCCCTTCGAGACGCAACTCCGTCTGTTACAAAGAGACATGACCCGAGTATTGAAAATACCAACAGTGGGTGAAACCAGTCAGCCTGAAAGTACATGTAAATCGTTCAAGCGTAGAACCGGTTCATCCCAAGCTTCAGCTCAGGACCCACTCTTTCCTCATTTACCATTGGACATCGTTTGCATTGACCGCATGAAGAAACTCGCGGGTGCAAAGATGTGGAGACCCTTTCGTCCAAGGGAAATGAAATACTACCAGTTCGCTAAGGCAGACTATGAGCATTACCGGTGGTGGTAGTACCGCCAATTCCTGATATAGCTTAGGACAAATTGGTAGCTGATGGGAAATACCAACCATCTAAGTCATCTTTCAAAGACCCTACCAAGAACAAACTCGAGGAGACCATGAAAAAGATTGACTCAGCGGCCAGATTTGGCTTGAAAATCAATTCCTTCCTCCTCCTCTTGTCAGAATATCTGATGTTTGCAGTGAAAAGAAAGTCAAAAATTTCCCCTGACATGATGGCAGTCGCCCTTTGTTGCCTTGAAGAGGCTTTTCTGTCAAGTTTGGATCAGTTCACAAGAGTCTCCCTAGCAACCAACCACAACAGCTCGTCGTAAGAACGTAATAGATTCCATCTATATTCCATACACAGGGGCAAGAAAGAAACTACAATCACTGCCCCTCCTGTCTAGTGACCTCTTCGATGGGAAATTCCATGAAATCCTAGAGACAGAGGCAAAACGAATCAAAACCACTCAGAAACTGGACTTACGCAAGCTCACAGCCAAACCACAAAAGGAAAACAGGAAGCAACAAAAGGCAGCTCCCTCATTCCGTCCTTCTCGTAAGCCCTTCAAGCCGTTCAAACCTTTTCATCAGAATGTAGCAACAGGGGCATCAGCCGGTTCAACGGCCACTAAAGCACGCCCTTACAACCATAATCGCCCATCCTACCGAACAAATCAGAATCGCGGCTGGCGATCGTCAGCACCCCGACAGACCGGGGCTGGCGAATATGACATTCACGTTACCGAGTTGGCCCCGGACCCGTGGGGGCCGACTCAGTTCTTTTGAAGGGTCCTGGGCAAGAAATTACCTCCGACAGATGGGTTCTCGCAACTACCTCGCAAGGTTACAAGCTCGAATTCACAAGTACCCCTCCGTCAAAACAACCATTGTATCACCCCGGTGCCAAGGAACAAAGAAAAACAAAAGGCACTAGAAGAAGAGATAATTTCTCTGCTGGAGAAAAACGCAATCCAGCAGGTCTCTCCGAGGGACACTAGTTTCTTGTCAACATTTTTCCTGACCCCAAAGAAAGGGACCGGCGAGTGGTGCCCCATCATAAATCTCAAACCTCTCAACAAATTCATCCGACCACGGAAACTCTAAGAGTCATTCTAGATTCAATTCCAGTTCCATCCTGGGCAGCATCACTAGACCTCAAAGATGCCTACCTACACGTCCCAATCTACAGGCATCATTCCAAATACCTACAATTCAGATACAAAAGGAACACAGACGAGTTTATCGCTCTCCCATTTGGTCTATCCACAGCCCCACGGGTTTTTACAAGGATATCACGAGTAGTAGCAGCAAGCTTACGAAAACGAAACATCCTAATCTTCATGTATCTGGACGACTGGATAGTCATAGGGCGCACAGAAATAGAAACCCTTCATGCGATCCAGTCAACATGGGCTCTGACATCCAAACTCGGTTTATTATCAACAAAACAAAGTCTCACCCAACTCCAACACAGCATCCAGTCTTTTTGGGTGCAGACATAGACTTGTGCCAGGGCACAGCAACTTCAACCAAAGAGCGTATACTAAATCTTCAAGGTTGTGTTCTCATGTTCCTTTCAAAGAATGTGGCCCCAGCAAGAGCATGGCTCGTGCTGTTGGGACTGATGATCGATCTTGTACCTTATTGCAGGCTCCGCATGCGCCCCCTCCAGCTCCACCTACTGGCCCATTACAGACCAAAACGGGATCCAATCCATATTCAAGTTCCGATCACTATAGGTCTCCTTCCTCACCTCCGTTGGTGGTCAATCGCTCAGAACTTACGGACGGGCCTAGCCTTCCCTCGTCCTCAGGCCTCCTTAACCGTCGCAACCGATGCATCAAATCTAGGATGGGGAGCAACTCTCTCCCCATGCCAGGTAGGCGGAACCTGGGGACCAGATTTCCAGAATCGACACATAAACATTCTGGAACTGCAAGCAGTATTCTACGGCCAACAACATTTCCAGCCGACAATACAGGGACACACAGTACTAATTCAAACAGACAACACGACCAAAGTGTCGTATATCAATCGTCAGGGTGGCACCCGATCGCCCCAACTGTGTTATCTGACTTGGGACATCCTCCATTGGTGCATCTGGGAAGAAGTACAACTTCCGCTTCCCACATTCCGGGAGATCAGAACGAGATCCCGGACGCCCTGTCCAGGGGTTTGATAATTCCAACAGAATGGACACTCAACAGAGAGATTGTCCGTCTCCTCTTCACCAATATCGACAGACCCCACATCGACCTCTTCGCAACAGCCATCAATGCTCAACTTCCAGGATTTTGCTCACGACGCCCAGACCCAAAAGCATTGGCAGTGGACGCACTAGCAATAAAATGGAACGGGACGTTCACGTACGCTTTCCCACCAATATCCCTGCTTCCAAAGGTCCTAAACAAGTTAGAAAAGGAGACGTGCAGAATGTAGTTAATAGCCCCATTCTGGCCATGCCAGCCCTGGTTCGGAGGCTGATCAGACTGCTAGTTCGCACTCCGTGGATACTACCTCAGAGAGCGGACATAATATTCCAACCACAGTCCCTTTATCTTCATCCAGCCCCCAGAGACCTCCATTTAACTTGTTGGCCTCTGTGCAACAGTCCTTCAGAGCAGCAGACCTTTCTCAAGACGCTGCCACTCTCGCAGCACACAGCCGCCGAGCCACTACAAGAAAAATTTACGACTCGAGACTTCGGTATTATTACAAATGGTGTGGACGGCAATTGGTTGATCCAACCTCAGCTCCTCTGACGTTGGTCGGGGATTTTTTGCTGTACCTTTATAATCAGGGTCTAACAGTCAAGAACTACCGGTCTGCCCTTTCCGCTATCCACAACGGATTTAAAGATGGTTCCGTAATCTCAAACAACAAAGCGGTGACCCATCTCCTCAAAGGAATGTTTGTTTAGCGTCCCCCAATAAGAAAGATTATACCTT